GGATCGAAATTTTTGCACCCATTTTTCGATTTTCCTTGCCTGACTAATATCGATATTACTTTTTCCGGGCTTCTGGATGATTACGATTGCTTACGACTGGATTAATATCTACATTTTTGATTTTTACGACTATCCTTATTTCGAGCCATATCCCACAGTCTTGTGTTATTCATTTTTCATATTCTTAATCGTAGCCATTCCGTCGTGCAAAACTGTTAAAAACACGCACTGACCGGACTAGCAAACAGCTGTTTTCGCAATGAAAAATGTTGATTCTCCCCTATCATGATTTGATTTTTCCAGTCATTTTCTCAGCAAAAATTCAGACAACACCATGTTTTTCCATTCGTGTCAACGACGGCATACGAAACCAAAAACCGAAGTAAACTTTTAAGCTATCCAATTTAGAATTGAGGCAAATTTTCAAAACTCTTAAATTTTCGGGAAAATTTTCCTTGTGTACGAGGCCAAGAGCTCGAAACCACTACACTGTCATGCAAGCATTTTGCATCATGTCTTACCAATCATGCCCAAAGCGATATTGGTTTCAGTACATGCTGGGCGAAAATTACTTCGCTGATTATGCTTAGCAATTGCATTTGCAGATGAAAACGCGGAAAAAAATCAAAAAATCAATGCAGTAACTGGTAATTTCTGGTGCTAAAATTTGGCTTGTATTTCCTAGGAAACAAAATGTGGGAAAAAGCTTAAATTGATACATGGGAGCTTTGGCCCGCATTTTCGCAAGTCTTTTTTGCAGAACAGTTTTATGTTTCTGCATTTTCCCAGCACCTACTGATATTGAATCATTTTTTCGGTTTCCTTTTGCTTTCAAATCGCTGTTTTCAAAAAATTTCGGTTTCTTCGCTAAAATTGTGCAAAAATGCATAGGCGGAAGTAAAATTTGTTGCTCTGAGATATGCTAATGGCTTTATTCAGACGCATTTTGCACGACTGCTCACTTCTTTGCGTCACTGTTGCTTTTGGCCGAACATGTTTAATATAGCTGAGTGAAAAAGGAGAAGT